ATTACTTAACCTCTCTCTGCCTCTGTTTGCCCATCCATCAAATGGGAATGACAATAATGTTCTCATGGGACTCAGGATTGTAACGAGGACAACTTGAGGTCCTGACAAATGTGTCAAAAAGAACAAAATGTTGCCCAAATGATCTGGGGGAGGCTGGGGACCACATCTCGCTCACTGCCGCATCCCAAGCACCTATACAGTGTGGGTCTGGAACATAGTAGGAGCTCAATAAACATTTGTTGAGTGAATGAGGGAATTGGCAGGTGTAATCATGAGTCCATAAAGGGCAGAGAACCGCACGTCATTCCATCAACTCTGAGCCTGTGGAGGAGACTCACATCACTCCACCTTCAACCCCACATCCATCCTCCCCAGAGCAGTTCCCATCCTGATTCTGTCACCCTGTATCCACTATAAGGAGTCCCTCATTCAGGGCAGCAAAGATTCAAAGCCTTAAGTTCACCTGTGGTTGGGGAGCAGAGGCCAGCACTGACCTCAGCCCATCTCCTCGGGTTTCAGGCTGTAGCACTCTGTCACAAGGGACTGGCCAGCTTCGCCCTCATTTCCCGCTCCTGTCTGCTGAGGCAAGGGAATGTCGGGCCACAGGAGTCAGCAGCCAACAGTGGCTCTCTGGCCAGCTGAGAAGGACACCACCAGAGAGCAGCCATGCCTGATGCACCACCAGCCAGGGCCTCAGGTGTTCCATCATCTCCTAGCCCAGCCCGCCTGCTGCTCCTGGGACATTTGGTACCCACAACTCCTGGCTGGCCTGTGCTAAGGAGTTCAAAGAGGCTCGAGTCCGGACAACTGGTTGACCTTCCCAAGGTTTCCTGTATTTCTTGAGTCAATGTCATCTTTCTCATTGTGATATCCTCAAGGACAGGACAAGCTGTGAAGGTCTGCAGCTGTGGGGTTGTGACAACCAGTCACTTTCCGAAGTCTGGTTTCTTTGTGTGTTTGTCTCTTTATTCTCTGTCTTCTCTATCCAAATGTAGGGTCCAGAGGGCAGGGCGCATGTTTAACCCTTTCACTGCTTTCTCGTCCCAGTGTGAGAACCGTGCCTGACCCAAAGCAGGTGCTGAATTAATATTTGTGAATGAATGAATGAACAAACAAATGAACTCTTTTGCAATGTTTGTTATATGTGATAAGTGATAACTAGTATAAATAAGTAATTATTATAAATTACTGTAGGGCTTCTCTGGTGGCGCAGTGGTTGAGAATCTGCCTGCCAATGCAAGGGACAGGGGTTCGAGCCCTGGTCCAGGAAGGTCCCACATGTCACGGAGCAACTAAGTCTGTGAGCCACAACTACTGAGCCCACGTGCCACAACTACTGAAGCCTGCATGCAAAAAGAGAAGCCATGACAATGAGAAGCCTGCACACTGCAACGAAGAGTAGCCCCCGCTCGCCACAACTAGAGAAAGCCCGCGCACAGCAACCAAGACCCAACACAGCCAAAAATAAAAAAAAATAAAAAATAGGGCTTCCCTGGTGGCACAGTGGTTGAGAGTCCGCCTGCCGATGCAGGGGACACAGGTTCATGCCCCGGTCCAAGAAGATCCCACATGCCGCGGAGCGGCTGGGCCCGTGAGCCATGGCCGCTGAGCCTGCACGTCCGGAGCCTGTGCTCCGCAACCGGAGAGGCCACAACAGTGAGAGGCCCACATACCGCAAAAAATAAATAAATAAATAAAATAAAAAATAAATTACTTTAAAGGAAGCAGTAACTTTCAGTCTCTCAAAATTAACATACACATTGTCCTGCCTTATTCATTTTAATTAATTCATTAATTCATTCAGTTATTCATTCAACCTTATATTGGCTTGGCCAAAAAGTTCGTTCGGGTGTTCATACCAGCTTACAAAAACCTGAACGAACTTTTTGGCGAACCCAATATTTGATCTGTAGGAGAGATTGGAATTATCCAGTCACACATGTGTATTTTGGGGTACAAAATACGGGTACCAACTTCTACAAGCATCTATGATGGGCCAGGGGTGGGGGATTTAACCTAGTCGGGGAGGTCAGGGGAAGATTGCTGGAGGAAGTTGCATGTAAGCCAAGAGCTAAAAGAAGAAAGTCATTGACTGGGAGTCAGAGTGGGGACAGAGGATACTCCAGGAAGAGTGGAGGCCACGTGAGAGGGCTGGCGGTGGGTGGGAGCATGCAAGAAGGAGAAACTGAGGACAGCCAGGGAGTGAGGAGGTCAGGATGAAACTGCGTCACCCCCTTGGCGAGGCCTGAGCAGAGCAGATGGCCAGCAGCATCCAGATGTGCTCAATAGGGGCCCTGGGCCAGGGCAGGTGCCCTTTGTAGGAGACGTCACCTCCTCCAGGACACTGGTCCTGACCTGCCAGCCTAGGTTAGTCCCCTCCTTTGTGTTCCCAAGAGACCAGGGCTTCCTCTCATCATTTAACTTACAAAAGTCTACTTTAATGATCTGTTTTCTTATTTTTGGCCTCTCGATTTGTGAGGTCCTTGAGGGCAGAGACCTTGGCTAGTCATCCTGTGCCACCAGTGCCTAGTACAGTGCCAGGGACGTGATAGATGACCCCTTAGCGTTTGATAAATGAATGGATGGAGGGCCCTCAGGTCATGGTGGTGCTGGACAGGTGTTTGGATTTCTATACACTCAGGAAGCCCCAGCTAAGCCCTGTGTTGCTAACAGAAGAGTGTGGATGGGGGTGTCTCTGCTGAGTGCTGGAGGGGAAGGGAGCCAGAAGGCTGGAAAAAAGAAAGGTCAGAAGATAACTGTGCAGTTAGTACCACATGAAGGAAAAAAGGATATACAGTGCCATCCTTAAAAGGAAGGAGGGATGACAGTGTCAAGGAGGATTTTCTTATGAGATGCGAAAAAGGAATTTCGCCAGGTAAAGTTGCATGGGTTTAAAAGGATGAGCAAGAACGTCCACTGGGTATTTAGCAGACTCTCATGTATTACATGCCAAGCACTGTTCTAAGTTCTTTGCAGGTATTTAACATTTAAATCCTCATAACAATTGCGTGAAGCATTTAACTGTGACTAGGTCTATTTTACAGATTCGGTACCTGAAGAGCAGAGATGTTAAATACATCTCTCAGGGCCAAGCAGCCAGGCTCTGAACGCAAGCACTCTGGCCCAGAAGCCAGGCTCTTATCCCCACCCCGTGCTGCCTTCAAGCCAACCCTTGCTCTTTGCTGGTATAACTGAGGAATTGGCTTTTTTTAAAAAAATTAATTTATTTATTCTATTATTTTGTTTTATTTATTTATTGTTTCTGGCTGCATTGGGTCTTCCTTGCTGCGCGTGGGCTTTTCTCTGGTTGCGGCGAGCGGGGGCTACTCTTCGTTGCAGTGTGCGGGCTTCTCATTGTGGTGGCTTCTCTTGTTGCGGAGCACGGGCTCTAGGCCCACGGGCTTCAGTAGTTGTGGCACGTGGGCTCAGTAGTTGTGGCTCGCGGGCTCAGTTGCTCTGCGGCATGCAGGATCTTCCCGGACCAGGGATCAAACCCACGTCCCCTGCACTGGCAGGCGGATTCTCAACAACTGCACCACCAGGGAAGCCCTGGAATCTTTTTAAAGATCCTCCTGAGAGGGAGGTATGATTCTTCCCCATTTTGCAGATCAGAAAACTGAGGCTCAGAGAAGTTAATTTGCAGAAGGCCAGTCAGCTGGTAAGTGGCAGAGCCAGGATCTATGATTACAGCCACTCTTGCTGTCTCCCATGTCCCCCTGATGCTCTCAACTGATCTCTTAACCTGGGTCGTAGGCCACTCCCTCTGCAGCGTGGGAGCCCCAGCCAAGGCCTGGCAGATGCAGTGCCCCGTGTACGTATCTGACTCAGCAGCACCTTCTCTACTCCGCAGTTTCCCATCCCAGCTCTGAGCCTCTAACCCACCACTACAGAGACAGGAACACCATCTCGACCTGGCACGAAATTAGGAGCAGCTAAATCCATAAGCAACTTTTGGGTGAAAAAGTAAAATCTATTTATACATCCCTGATGGGCAGGAAGGCAACAGCTCAATCTAGGAGAAGGTGGTTAAGGACTCAACTAGTCAGCATCCCAGGGACCTGCGTGGTCCCTGTGCAACGTCCCACGCAGGGCTTGGAGCCTCTGGCAGATGCCCCATCTCACTTGGATGCCAGGATGTTTTCCCTGGTGCTGCCCCTCCCTGCTCTCCCGGTCCATCCATCAGGGGCTCCATTGGTGCAATGGCTGACAGGCTCATACACACCTGAAACCAGGGAAAGGGGCAACTGGACCCAACCCAGCCTCCTTGACATAGAGGCCCAGGGCCAAGTTGATAGCTCAGACCTGTCAGGGTCCTCTGACAGCTTCCCTCCAATACAGTCCTCCTGTGCTGAGCTAATTTTGTATTACTTTTGGTCGCTTACAGCTAAAGGAGACCTATCTGTCTAATACGTTCCTTGTCTTAACATTACAACACTATTAATGCAGACTAAATAATCACACACTAATTTTCTCTCTCTCTTTCTCTTTTTCATTTGAGCTGCTATAAATTCGAATCTCCCCCTCTCAACTTTCTTGTCTAGTTCAGGAGTCAGACAGATAGATAGCAAATGGTTTAGACTTTGTGGACCATAAGATCCCGGAGCAACTCCTCAACTCTGCCATTGTAGTGTGAAAGCATGTGAACAAATGAATGTGACTGTGTTCCAATACAACCTAATTTTACAAAAACTGCTGCAGGCTGGACTTCACACACAGGCTGTAGTTTGCCAACCCTTGATCTAGTTGGTTTTTTTGGATCCGAGCCTGGTCTTCTCATTTCTCCTTATTAAACATAATCTCATTAGCTTCAACCCATCTTTCAAGTCCAGGGGCATAGTTTTTTTTTTTTTTTTTTTTTGCGGTACGCGGGCCTCTCACTGTTGTGGTGTCTCCCGTTGCGGAGCACAGGCTCCGGGCGCGCAGGCTCAGCGGCCATGGCTCACGGGCCCAGCCGTTCCGCGGCATGTGGGATCCTCCCGGACCGGGACACGAATCCGCGTCCCCTGCATCGGCAGGCGGACTCTCAACCACTGCGCCACCAGGGAAGCCCCGGGGGCACAGTTTTAAATCCTGTTTCTACCTTCCAGCACAGCAGCTCTCCCTCCCTGCTCTATGTCACGTGCATATTGAATGAGCTTTCGGGGTCTTCATGGTTCATCAGAGCAGCAGGCCCTTGAAAATGCAGTAGGTGGTGCCGTGCTGCCCATCCTGGGAAAGGACACACGAGGGAGAAGTCAGGACCGCCGAGGGTAGGGTGATTAACCGGACGGCCTTCTAATCACACAGCCTCTGCTGACCGGCACCCAGTCTCTCTCTGTTTCTCTGATTTTCTGGCTCAGGGACGGGCCAGGAGTCATCTGGAGGCTGTTTGCTTCTCTGAAAAATTCCTTTACTCAACACTTATTGTTATTCAATGTGATAAACCCCCATGCCCGCTCTTTTGCTGTGTCCTCCAGCAATCTCTGGGGCACCCTCCCTGGAATCCCACTCTTCAGGCTGGATAAACCTAGGCATTCATCAAGCCCAGTATCCCTCATTTTACGGATGAAAAATCTGAAGCCCGAGATGGGAGCAACTTGCCCAAGGCATGCAGGGCATCTGTGGAAGAGCCAGACTGGAACCCTAGGTCCCTCTGCTTCTTTCCATATCCTTCCAGAAGGAACTGCCTCAGGTGAGCTTCCAGGTCATGAAGGCCCAGCAGCCCTCCTCTTGTACCAGTCCAGTGACAGAGAGGACACAGACCCGGGAACTTGTGCATTCCAGTTCTTCTATCTGGGCCTCCCACTTTGCCATTAAATTGAACAGAATATCAAGTTTTTCCCTGAGAAGCCCTGTTTTTTGTGAACGTCTCTCACAAGCTTGGCTCTAAAGCCAAAAGGAATTTGCGTTAGCTATAAGCAAACTGTGAACTGCATGAGCGGCTTTGCAAATTGTCTCCTTTAAACAAGATTGATGATGTTTCCTCGTGAATGACCATTTCTATATGCATGGGTTTTTTTTTTCTGATGCCACATGGGTTTTTTTCCGTATATTCCACGTATTTCCAACACCAAATACATGTTGTTTTTCCATATCAATTCTCCAATTCCCTATCACCAACTAGGTTTCCAATAATTCAATTCAATTCTGATACTACCTACCTAGAGTTAGTCTCAGATCCCACCAGTTAAAGAACTCAGTCCCACAAGATTTCCCCCGCTTTAGATGCTAGCTGCAAGTGGAATCCCTAGATGACCCTCACTTCTACCTGACCAACTACAAGTCTGGGGGTTTCCACAATTCCCCTCAAGTTCTATAATTCACTGGAATGACTCAGAACTCAGGAAAGTGCTCTACTTACAATGACCACGTTATTGTAAAAGATACAACTCAGGAAGAGCTGAATGGAGGAGATACACAGGGCCAAGTATGCAGGGGTGAAGCGTCCACGCCCTCTCAGGGCACACCACCCACCAAGCACCTCGATGTGTTCACCAGCCCGGACATTCTCCAAATCTTGCTGTTCCAGAGTTTTTATAACTCAATCTCCAGCCCCCCTCCCTTCCTCAGAGGTTGGGAGGTGGGGCTGAAAATTCCCACCCTCTTACCACGTTTGGTCTTTCGGGTGACCAGCTCCCATCCTGAAGCTATCTCTAGGGGTCCCATCCTGAGTCACCTCACTAGCATAAACTCTGATGTGTTCAAAAGGGCCTGCTATGAATAGCAAAAGACACTCCTATCAGGAATTTCCAAGGAAGCTCTGTGCCAGGAACCTAGGACAAAGACCAATTTTGTTGTTGTTGTTATACTACACTATACTATGGAGTTCCTAAATCAGCTAGGATGGTTATAGCTAGAGCCCTAAAAACACACTCTGGACATGCACTTTAGCATGCTCATCATTAAGAGGCCACCCTCCTCCCATGAAAGAAAACGATGCTCCCTTTCTTTGTACCTGTTTCCCTATTGGGGGTAAGAGGATCGACTGGGGCCATGTCATTCTTATGCCCCCGGTTCTGAGTGGACAGGACTTCCTGCCATTCCCAGGACACTGGCCCTCCTCCCCTTTGCCTGTGCCATGTCGTCTGCTTGGAATGAACTTCTTTCCCTTCTTTTCCTGTCAGATTGCAGGTGATCAAAAATGTAGGGCACAGAATGCTTTGTGACGTTGGTAGGTCTTCTATGACAGGGTACTTCTAATTTATGTTTGTTTTTTTGGCTAGAAGAAATCATTTTACACTGTCACAGAACAGAGGTGTAATTTGGGGCTCACAACTGACAGCACTCATTTCACGTAACTGCTGTTGGTTCTATCACATTTCTGATCATCACAAATTCTTCCCTGTGGGCAGATGCAAGGGCACACGTCCACACCCCCCTTTTCCCTGAGGCTACATTTGTGGTCAAAATCATCCTCCCAAGCCCTGTTCAAGCACTCCCTCCCGTACGAAGCCTTCGTGGTTCATCCAGGCAGAATTAAAACAGGTCTTCCCACAGCACTTTGTACTCTGCTCCATTAGATTGTTAACAGGCTGTTTGCCTGCAAAGGCTGTGAGCATCAGGTCGTTGATCTCTGCCCTGAGCAGTATCTGACACACTAAAGGCTCACTAAATACTGAGTCCGGGTCTATAGGAGAGAGAGGGTAACCTAATTAGACAAGATCCAGGACAGGACACAGAGGAAAACTGGTGGTGTGGGTAGGGAGGGCACTCCCTGACAGCTATCCTCTTCGGAAGGAGAAGCTATTGCTCTTGAATGTCTGGTTCTGGTTTACTCTGCCTTCTGCACTGCTAGATCCACCCCCACTAGACACACACGCTTCTATTAATAGATACAACTCAAGACAGCAGCTTCAGAAATAACCTCTTCTTCAAGGTCAGTGCGAGGCCATAGAAACACCATCCTGGTCAACCCGCTGAACCAATAGGTGGACACTGGTTCTCAGATAAAAAGACCCCCAACCCTCAAGGATGGGGCACTGTGGAGGGAGAGTGGGACCACCTTATGCATTTCATGGGCCTTAGGCACTTGTGCCCTCATAGCCCATTCCTCTAAAAACATATATTTTAGGTTATACTTTATGACTACATTGTCATAAAGACAAATATAATTCAGCCTTGACTCATTTTTTATATATTCATTTATATTATATTATATTATATTCATCTTCTACTTCTGATTTTTAAAAATTAAATTAAAACACTTTCATGGGCCCCTAAAAGTATTGTGGGCCTGTATTAGACTGGGCTCTCCAGAGAAAGAGAACCAGTAGGAGATATATAGATATAGATACATAGATATATAAATATAGAGAGATTTACTGTAAGGAATTAGCATATGTGGCGTCAGAGGCCAAGGAGTCCCACAGGCTGCAGGTGACAATCTGAAGACCCAGGAAAGCCAATGGTGTAAGTTCTTGTCTGAGTCTGAAGGCAGAAGATCAATGTCCCAGCTTGAAGACAGCCAGGGAAAAGCTTGAATGCTTCCTTGCTCTGTCTTTTTTTGTTCTATTTAGGCCTCTGACAGATTGGACGAGGCCCGCCCACACTGGGTAGGGCAACCTGCCCTACGGGTCCAGCAATTCAAATGTCACTCTCATGTGACACAAACACACCCAGGGTAATATTTAACCAGATTTCTAGGTATCTTATGGCCCAGTCAAGCTGACACAGAAAATTAACCAAGCCAGGACCTCAGGCGCCTCGTCTGCTGGGCCTCCTGGAGAAGTTGGCCCTGAGCGTCAGAGAGTAGGTTAGATATGGCCCTTTCCTTGGAGTTACCACTTTGTCAATGGGACCCACAGAAGAGATGGCTCTCGCACACAGTGGTTACCTGGGCTCACTGCCAGGGGTCTTGGGCCTGCGGACTGGGACCCAGGCATTTTAATCTCTAGTTGGGAGGAATGGGAAAGAAAGAGGGTCAAGGCCTCGGATGACTGGTTTTCATGTTTCCTTCGTCACGAACCATCTCTATCCTTAGGACGCTACAACAGTTAAGATCAATATTCTGCCATCATTCCCTGCCGTCTCTTCCATTGGCCCATTAGCTGGATGGCCTAGAGAAGGCCTAGAGAAGAGTACCCGTTTGCTCAGGGTGTCAAGGCAGGTGGTGAAATAGAATCATGGCAACACCAGGGCAAACTGGGAGATCCATGGAGCGTGTCTCCCATGCCCCAGGCCTGACCAAGGAGCAGGGGCAAGGCGAGAGAGACAGAGAGTTCACAGCTAAGATTTTCAGGGCAAATCCTCCCCGCCTGCATATTCAAATCACAGACCGCAGTCTATGCACCTAAGGCCCATTTCATGTTGCTTTACATCCATATCAAGGAGGTTTGATCTTTGAGGAAATAAACACTGACCCAGCTTCAAACAAGTCAGACCTCCTGCTATTTATTTTTAGTTCTCTGGATGTGTGCAGATCATCATCAACGCAGTAAAGAAAATGCAGAAAAGAAAAATGCTTCCCATAATTACCCAGCTAATAAATCCTGGATGAAAGGCTCCTGGGGACAGTGTGTTCTGATGACCTTTGCTGGGGAGGTAGCTCTGTCCCTGAGGAAGAAATGAGATGTGTTGGATGTGGGGTGGATTAGACACCCCTGGCCTGTGCATCCTGAGAGAAGGCTTGAGTCAGGGTGAGTGAGTCAAAGGATGGGTCCTCAGAGGCTGCTCAGAATGAGGAGAATGTGTGTGTATGTATGGTGTGTGCGTGTGTTGGGGGCAAATGAATGTGTTGCGTGTGTGTTTGTGTATGGGGTGTCTGTGTGTGTGTTGGAAAGGGTCTGGTGGAGGATGAGGGAGAGACTGGGGAAGTCTAGTCATGGGTTTTGAACCAGAGATGGGGGTCTATTTCCAGGGGTTTCATGGGCACTCGAAGTTTTTTTCCTGCCAAGAATCTATTTCTCCTTTTTTCTAGTTGAAATTCTTCTTGAATTTCCCTTTTGCTTAAGCCAGTGGAAAGATCCCTAAGTGAACAATAGAAGAGTCCAGTAAAAAGAGCACTGGACTGAAAGTCAGGAGACCCAGGTTCCAGCACTGGCTCTGTCACAAACCAGGCTATGACCTTGGGTAAGTCACTCCTTCCCCTGCTCTCAGTTTCCCCATTTGTCCAAAGACCAGTGGTTTTCAGATTTTGGGTTTCATGGACCAGTTTAAATCATCATAAGTAGCCACATCACCAGCAACGATCACCAACATTTTATGGAAGAAAGATTATTTTAACCTCCAAGGTACAAAGGACAAAATCTCAAAGTTGAAAAATGGGGTAAATTTAGATTTAAGAAAAATCCACTAGTTCGTATTTTTTCCCAATATTGCCCTAGACAGGAGAAAAGAGCACCATAGATGTACTGCTCTGGTGCCTGGAGTTTCGTGACTATTAAACTTCACATACTCCCAGGTCCATCTTCAAGCTGTAATGTGGTAGGATGAATCTTTCAGTTCTGCACCTTTGTCCAGAATTATCAGTCTGTGAACGGTCAGTAGCCCAGCCCTTAGCTGCCCTTTCCTCCTTCTGCAGATGAGAGAATGGAAACATCTACGACGGGAAAGAGACATTTCCCCCAAACCATGCCGATGAAAACCTACTGCTCCTACTATTACTACTGCTACTGCCCCTGCTACTGCTATTGCTACTGCTCTTACTACTGCTACGGCTACTACCATTACTGCTACTACTGCTACTGCTACTATTACTACTGCTGCTACTGCTATTACTATTGCTGTTACTACTGCTGCTGTTACTACCATTACTGCTATGAATACCATTACTGCTACTACAGCTACTAAAATACGAACAACAGCCTGTTCCTGACACTGTTATAAGCACTGTACGTATTTAGAGTTTAAAAAGCGAACTCAAGTTTCACAACAACCCCATGGGGTAGAAATGATTATTATTTGCATTTTGCAGATAAGGACATTAAGGCACAGACAAAATAATGACGTCACAAAATAATATTCAGTTGACCTTGGACTCTCCTGACTCTGCAGAGGTCAGATTAAATGTATGTGTGTGTCTAAGCCTTGGGACATGTAGACCAAAGCTCACTGTCCCGGATCCTATAATTTCCCACCTGCCAGAGAGAAACTGGTACCTGTCCCTGTCCCTGTCCCTGTATGGATGGCCTCCTTCAGTCAGGGTCCAACAACAACACAATCACTGCAGCTACCATTTACCTTGATGCTCTGGATGAGGTCATTGGCCTCCATGATCTCCCTTTATCCTCACAAGACTCCCATAGGAAAGGGGTTTATTGTTTCTCTTTTGAAGGTGACATAACGGCAGCTTACAGAGGCGACCTACCAAGGTCACACAGCTGGTTGGGATTCGAACTGAGGTCTTCCTGACTCTAAAGCCCCTATTCCTAACCCTGTAAAGAAAGGGGGAGACTATGTCCCATTTTGCAGTCAGAAATATAAACTGCTCAGAGAAGGGAAGTAATGGTCCCAGACCAGGTTGGAGCTGAAACCAGCATCAGGCCTAAATCCCCATGCTTCCTAGGTTCCTGTCCGAGCCCACGAGCACCCCACCTTCTAGACGCTGACCAGGAGAAGGCACTGGACAGGCATTTTTAGAAAAGGAAGGAGACTCGAGGGGAGATTAGGGACAGGACAAAATATCTTGGGGCCAGAGCACGCTGTCCTTGGAGCTCTTGCCAACATGGCTCAAAGTGGCCTTGGCGAGGTATTTGGGAGGGGGGTTCATAGCTGGGCTGGGAAAGAGGGCACCAGCCTGGGTGCAAAAGTTCCCAAATGGCAAACTGGTTGCTTGGTGTCATCTCTCAGCCTCGACTCTTGACCTGCTGGGCTCAACCTAGTTTTCTCAGCCTGGAAAATGGGGTTCACAGGGCTTACTCAAGAGACTGGGAAGGAACGTGAGATAATGACTTCCTTGATTTTGGAGTGAGGACAAGCCTGAAGACCTTGTTCTGCTCCCGTCCCCCACTCCCTGTCCCCCTCTGTCTCACCAGTCCTCCCCACCTTGGTAACCGGCACCGTCCGTCATCAGGCTTCTCAAGCTGCAAGTCTGAGATTCAGCCTCGATTCCTCCCTGTCTCTCACTCTAGCCCATCAGCAAACCTCCAGGTCCAACCTCCCAAATATGTCTCAAGCTCCACCCCTTCCCCTCCACTCCACCACCGAGTCCAAGCAGCGTCCTCTCTCACCTGGACACTGCAGGGGTTCCTGAATGCTCTCCTCTCCCCCACTCCTCCCCTAAAGCCTATTCCCAGACCTACAGCCACAGTGATGCATGAAAATTTAAACCAGATCATGTCACTTGCTTAAAAGCCTTCAATGATCTCCCATTCTACACAGACACAAATCAAAATCCCTAGAATTGGTCTGACTGGTCTGGCCCCTGCCCATCCAACTGTTTTAGGCCACAGGTCTCACCCTCACTCAATGAACTCCAACCCCGATGAACCTGCAGTTCCTAGAATCCATCTTCCTCCAAAGGGCTTTGGCACCTTCTGGTCCCTCAGCTGAACGCTGTTCCCGGTCAACAGCTTCCTATCACCCAGGGTCAGCTCAGAGAGGTCGTCCCTGACCATCTTTTCTGAAGCAGAATTCTACCTTATATCCTAGCACAGTATCCGTTTATTTCCTTCTGAGCACTCACTACAA